ATAAGAGTAAAATATTTATCCATTTATCTAATTCTCCATTGTCTTAATGTCATTTTTGAAATTTTATTATGTATATAACAGCAAATCCTTTAATGCTACTTAACATTTTGGCTTTTATCAACAATAAAAGATAAAATATATATACTGTATTACCTAATACTTGACATAGATTCAAAAGTTTAATGAGAATATAAAAATCTCGTTAAAAATTTTTAAAACCTCATAATTTCAGAAATTATGTTACATATTTATTAGAATTTGAATATCTCAAGTTTTAATAAATTGTATATGCTATAAATTTTAAACACTTAATAGAAGAAATAACATTTTTTTTACATAAATTTTTTCAAGTGCTTTCTTCATATCAATTATTATTNAAATATATGTAATATATATTTTATAAATTTATGAATGCTACATTTTTCTGGAAATGATGAAACAAATGAGTGTTTAACATTTTAAAAGATAAATTCCAAATGAATTTACTTTAAAATTTCTTCATTATTTTGTATTGTAATTTTCTTTTTATAAATAATGTATAGGCCTATATCGATAAACTGTTTCAAAAGGTAAGATCAATTTTGACAGGAAGTGATTGTAGAGTTTGTGTAAAGTATGTATAGAAAATCTTTTGTATTCGCCGTGGTTTAGTAAAGACGGCTTTTAAAAGTTATATGATAATTTTAATTATTAACAATTAAACAATAAGCAGATATGTTCTCCATGTTAACAAGACAGAAAATACTCTATCAAAACGAGCTGCCTGGCAATGTTTGATAATTAATTAATAAAGATGATGTTCAAAATTTCGTCCTCTCTCTCTCGGAAACACATCTCAGCATGTCGACGAACTGAATGTTATTCTAAAACTGATGTTATTCAGGAATTTTGCTGCGGCAGCATGAATTGTTTGTACAAGTTTTTCGTACAAACTCAGAACTGTACACTTCATACAACCCACAGAAAAAATCCAGTGGTATCAAATTCGAAGTATAAACTTTATTTCAACGATTATTTATTGTGACATTGTTACAATGCCGGACTGAAATTTTAAATCATATTTTTAATTTACTTAATTTAAAATATATGCTCTTCATCTCAAATTAGTAGTGGCTTGCTCCTATACATCATATTTTTCCGTTAGCAATAGAGTCGTGCCGATCATCTTTCTAACTCCTTTCAGGGGAAAAGGTTTGAATTGAAATAACATGACTTTCGGTTTATTTCGGAATTTCATATATAATTAATCAGGGCTTTCTGCCGCTACGGTTTCCATGTCTGATCTTGAATTTCATCTATCTAATTCCATTCTCGAGATTAAGAAAAGACAGGCGGACAAATGAACGACAGTGGCAATTTATAGGTCTACAATTTTTCAAATTGCAGCCCAAAAAACTCTGAAAAAAACCAAACTTAGAAAAACCTTATTACTCTAAAGAACATCCTATATCTGAGTGGATTGAGTTGATGGATATAGTCAATGTAACGTATGAGCAATCTGCTAAGGGGCGATGCATGTCGACAGGACTTTAAAGGGAAACTCTTCTCTATTTAGGAGTTTGAGCTTTCCTCGCATGTCTAACACCTAAACAGAGGACAGTTTCCCGTAAAAAGTTTCCCACGCGGCCAGTCCGTTTTGAGGCGCGAACCCATGGATGTTTTGAACCCATGGATGTTCAACACACTTAGCACATGTTCTGCGTCACCCCCTAGCCCAGGGATGGCGAACCTACGTCACGTCGGAGAAATCATCTGGAACTTAACGTATCATACATTCTTGGTTTATTACCTGATCATCCTTTGTTTTCAATCAGCTTATGTACATTTACTCTAATTAAAGTATATTCATTTTATTTATATAAACATAGTTATTAGAAATCTAGAGCTTTGACACGCATAAAAAATTTTAAAGACAAGTACGCTTACTGTATGGCACGCAGACTTAAAAAAAAGTTTGCCATCCCTGCCCTAGCCTATTGACTTTACTCTTTGAAACATCCTATATAAATGTGATTTATACTTTATTTTCAAATTTTATATTTTACGAAATGTAAGTCATTATATAATTTATTTAATTAAATAACGTTTATTTCAAATTATGAAAAATAATATAATATAGAAGAAGATCGTAACTTTATTTCAAGAAACGAGAAAAATTTGACCAGAATTTGGCGAATAAAACCTTGTTTGTTCTTGAGAAGTCTGTGATGATAAATGGAGAATAATAAATTCAATCAATAAAGTTCGGAGAGGAAACTAAGAATTGAGTTAGATCGACTAAGAAAGAATAAGGAAGGAAGAATAAAAATGAAACAAAGAGAAGAATAAATAGATCTATAACATTGAAATGAGAATAATAGAGAACCAGAAAGTATCTAAGAAATTAATTTTAAAAATAAAATAATTTAAGATCAACTATAAATGAAAGAAAATACAATCACCACTATATTAGTTCTAAAGAAACACTTAGTTTTTATAATAATAATGACTTATCAGGTCTCTTAAAACGATTAACGGAATCTACATTAGGCCTACGTTAAGATATACTCTAAACGAATGTGTGATGATTAGACATTACTATTAAACAATAGTTTTAAGAGCAAATGGCAATTTTACTGAAGATAGATCATGCTATAATTTGATGTACATCACGATAATTTATCATATGAATCGGAATAGTGTTTTATCTGTACTGATTGAACTTTTTCTAATTATTCTAAAAGTAAAAAACTGGAAATTTTTTCTCGAGTTCTAGAGAATATATTGTATAAAACTGTGTAAGACTAGCAATTATGTACAGCACAAAGACATCATTTCTAAAGAGAACAAAACACTAATAGGATGAGAATCGTAGAAACGAGATGCTGTGATGAATGTACAGAGCGACAAGAATGGACTGGATATAAAATTGATAGACTTAACCGGAAAAATGCAACAGGTCATATTATGAAAAAAAATAAAAAAATATGTAGAAAGAAAAGTTGCGGCGTTGTAAATTAATAGGAAATAGCAGAAGTCCAAGAAAAGATAAAGGGATGTGATTAACGAAAACACAAAAGAGAAACTGGATGAAGAATGAATGGATAACAGAGCGATAAATCTGAAAACGACTCATTTATAACGACGACTCTCTATAAAAAATTGGATAAATTAAGAAAAGAAGAAAATTTAGAGCATTTATGATCAACAAAAATAGTTTCAAGTTTCGCAGTTAAAAAATAAATACAGAAAATATTTTTATACCCTTAGAACAGACATTATTAATAAGATAAAATATGACTTAACTTCCGAAGTTGCTTTTTGAAATATATAATGCATAAATTGTTTTTATATAAATAAATTTATGATTAATAAATGGTTAATTCTATGTCAAAGAATTTTTTTTCAGTTTTTCATTTATTTCTCTGGAAATTGAATTTAAATTTTTAAAGTCAATTTTAACTCTATTCGAATTACATTTTAAATTTTTATACAATTGAAGGCATAACAAATACAATTTTCTTTTAATTCATTACAAAACTTTCTTATCATCTTAAACTTATTTTAATGTTAAATTTTCTCATCATCTCAAATCTGATACTTATTTCACGTTTAAAATATTCTAAAACGAATAAATCAATCAAAATCACGACATTATTTTTATCACAAAAAAAACAGTTTTTTTCTCCATATATCATGAATTATGGGACAAACAAAAATAAATAATGTGTAAATTTATTCAAATAAAACTATTTCATATTCAAACTTGATATTACAGTACTTGCCAGATTATTAGACCCATTGACTAAAATCATATTTTTTGTACTATTTTCTTCTTTTTTTCGCAATATTATTGAAGGAATAAGTGTTTTTATGTTATTTTTATTCTTTATCATATTTGAAACACTTTTAATAAGTTTTTATATAGCAACACGGTAAATGTAAAAAAACATTAATTTTCTACTACGAAAAAGGAAGTGATAGAGGTTTATAGTAAGGTATGGTAGCATAGCCCCATTTACGAGAACAAAAATTTAAAAAGTATATAAAGAGTATTCATTGTGATATAGAAACACTACTAGCTCATTCAAAATATTAATTTTAATTTTTAATTTTTTAAGTTGTATTATATTCAAAGTTTTATATGCAAATACTTAATTTTCATTTCATAAGACACAATAAATATTAATCTTTTAAATAATCTTAAATTAAATAAAAAATGAAATTATCGATAAGATAATTTCATTTTTATTAAATTATTGTATCAAAACTAACAGATCATTAATTTTTTCATGGGTCTAATAGTGTGGCAAGGTACTGCACATTGTTAATTTTTAAGATTTTTAAATGCGTTATTTCTTCTTTATGATTTAAAGCAATTTTAAATAAGTTATTAAAAAACTTGTGTAAATCGTTTTCTTAAAAGTTATTCCTGTTTTTAACAAATTAACTAAAGTGTTTAATATTATTTTCCAAGTTTTATATAGAAATAATGCGAGTAAGAATTGCTTCACAGTTTCTCATCAGTAAAAACCTATAATTAATTATTTTTTGTAGTATAGATCTATCAAATATTTCACAATAAAAATACTATTTTATTTAGAGAATAATGGTAGAAAAAATTAAAAATCCATTTTATATAAATAAATAAATTATATATATTTTTTAATATTTTAAACATTTTTCTGAATATTTAGAAAGCGAGTTCATAAACTAAAAAGTTTTCGCTACCAGTGAAAGGATGGATAACACCGTTAGTCGTGGGTTCGTGCCTAGCCAACTGACTGAACGGGTGGAGTTTTTCGGTTTATTTCACGCGTGTAACATCTAAAAAGAGCTTTTAACCATAAAAGGTTTTTCATACCTTGCGTTGCTTTATCCCAACAATCCAGTAACCTTACGATTTACTTACGATCTCTCTTTATAAATGTATAGAAACATTATAAATTTAATGTATATTAATTTAATTTCTTAATACTATGTTAATTATGCAAATTTAATATATATTGAACATTTTCTAGATGTTAAGCAGGAGAAATCATTGCAGTCATACGATATGTGCGTTAAGGTGAAGAAAACCGATTGTGGAACTCAGACGTTTACAACATTGCTCAACAGCGAAAACGATATTAACAAATGCCAAAACGAAATAAATCTCTAAAATATATCTCTAATATTATCATAAAGTCAAAATTATCATACGTATTTATTATATTTTATTCAAATCTTTGGAGGGTCGCTTGATGGTGATACATATTGTTGTGTAAATTATTGAAAATATTTATATAGATAACATAATAAATTTATTTTATATTACTTATTACATATATACAGTTAAGTAATATTTTTATAAAATATTTTTTTTTTTCCACTTCGTTAAAATTGTAATAAATTGTGCTTGTAAATGATAGAAAAAATAATTTACTTTAAATTTAAATGATTAAATTATTATTAAAATTAATTTCATGTAAAAGAAAACTATACTTTTGTCATTTTCTTATCTCTTTTAGTTTTTGTAATCAATAAAATTTGTCTGAAATCATTTCTTTTAGACTGATTTTATCATTTTTAATAAATTCTTCATTTAATTGCTCAAGGAAAAATCTTGGCAATTTATTAACACATGAGTAAATACATGCATATATGATATGAAAAAATGTAAACTATATATCATTTATAAAATTTAAATAAATAAATAACAATTCTATATTTTTATCATAAAAAATTGCGTATGCAAGCTAATAAAAAATTCTCTACATAATAATTTTTAAATGTTACGTTAAATTTTCTCAAGATAAGACTAGATAAAGGTTTAGTTAAAAATTCAAAAAATTCTAATCAAATTTTAAATATTTTAAAATTTTAATCATGAAATTTAATTATATTTTCATACATAAATTTATAAGTGCGATTTTTATTCCTGATTTTCCTAATCTAAAAAAATATAATCGGAAATTCCCAATAACCAGTTATTTGTTAAATTTAAATTAACGCATTGCCAAGTAAAGCGCTAGATAAGAAAGCTGATAAAGTCTGTTTTATCCGAAACGTATTTAATACAGTTGAATATGCAAGCCAGTAATATAGCCCGTTACAGATGAAACGGATTATTCCACGTGTATTAAAGCTTCTTTGAGCAGGCGATTAACTGATTTGCAACATTCATTTTTCCTGTTTAAAGTGATCAAAATATGTAAGTTGTTACTCAAACTTCAAATAAATTGTTTTTTGTATTAATGTCATTTCAGTTTAACGAAGGAGTATTGCTAACTAAGCAAAAACAGTTTTATTGTAAAATTCTTCGCATTCGAAAAACTATAAAGAAAACCAAACAAACAGGCTTATAACTTTATAGATGAATGCCGAATTAAATCATAAATATTAAAAACAAAAAGATGTACTGTAACTGAATGTTTTATTATTGTTATTTTTCTTTCTAGAATAGTTTTGTCTATTGTTATTTATTTTATTATGCGGTTTACTAAAGAAAGTTCTTTCTTGTCCTGTTGGATATTGTCTGTAGAAATCTGTAATAAATAAATAAATGTATTTAAAATAATAATCAAGTTTTCTAAATTTTATATATGATTCCTGATGTAACAGTTAATTCAGCTGAATTACTATTCAGAATTTTATACAGTTCAAACAATTAGCTAAATATACGGACAAATGTAAAGACAATTCTAATATATATTTATGTAAACAATTGTTTTAAAGACCTTAAACATTAATTTCGAAATATCGCTATAGAAATTTTACTGCCATATGTCACAGTTGATATATTATTGTTTATAATTCAGTTTTATATTTCATTTTTATGCGAATGGAAAGTAAAATTTGTTGTTTATTTAAATATATGTATTTTTTGTGGATTATAAATTCAATTGGCGGCAATACATAATTCACTGTTTGAAAATTTCTTCTATTCTTATTTGAAAATTTATAAATTTTATAAAATTACATTTATTATTCGAAAAATAATAAATGTAACATAAAACATAAAACATTGAAGAACAAATATATTTAATAAATGTAAAAATTTTCATCAGCATATCGTTGAGAGGAGGGTGCACGACAATTGGGGCGACGGTGAGTAGGACGATCGTCATTTGGGCAGCAGAAATTTAAAAATTTTTCCACGCTTAGCAAGAATACGATTTGACGAGTAGAGGAGAAGGTGGTATTATGGAACCCCAATTACATTACAGTGAATTGTAAACAAGGTATCATAACTATACCAACATTTTTTGTGCGAAAAGTACTGGTTAAAAGTACTATTAAACTAAATGTTCCTAATTGGATTTTTCGCTTGTGTAACTATAAGTATGGTTTTTGAAGGCTTCTGTACAAAAAGTCAGAAAGTAGGCTTAGAGAAAATCGGTAATATGGAACCTTTCAAAAAATGCTTTAATGTATCCAAAAACAAATAGGAAAGTACAAAGAATGTTAAATAATTACAAAATTATTTACTCCAATGTATTTTATCGAAAGAATGCTTTTATAATTAAAAAAATATGGCCTCCATCAACAATATATATTCCAGTAGCTCTTTTTCGATATTCTCGGGAAGAATTGGCTTTCTACCTAGTGTCTTTTTTACAAATTGCTCCGGACGAATGTCTGCTTGCAAAGAGAGAGTTCGGAAAAGTTGGGTTCTCAGAGGAGTTGGGTTCCATATTAAAAGAACCAATAGGGTCCGTATTTTACGCATCGCCATCTTAAATTAACTTATGTCTGTCAAGACCAAACTTTAAAAAACGTGAACATCACACAGATTAATATGTTCCCCTAAGTCTCTGGAACGGAATACATACACCAGTGAACGTACAACTACACGATTTATATTTTAGAAGTAATTAAATTCACTTACCATTCAAAAGTTTAGAATTTCGAAAAACACAAATATGCTGATTCACTACAGACAACCGTTTAACTCAGTGTTTCTCAACCTCTACCGAATCGTCGCCCTTTTCAACGTAGTAGCGCCCATCTTCAATAAAACCGTTACATAGTATCGCCGCCTTCATTTCAAAATTCCGATGCCGAGGGCCAAGGCTAACGCCAAATTCGAACTGCATCGAATAGACTAGTGACTAGTATAATGTTATTTGTTTAATTATTGTACGATATAACGAATAAAATATCTAATTACTCTTAATTAATATAATGTTTTACTATATCGCCCAGAAAATTGTTTTTGCTTCCCAAAAATATAAATTGTTACTAATCGCCCCCTCAACATGGAAAAACGCCCTCATGGGGGCGTTTTTCCATGTTGACGGAGCCCCCGTTGAGAAACACTGGTTTAACTGAAGTGAAACGAGTTTTCCACTTGCTATGGATGTCTGCCTAGTGCAGCTCAACCACAATCCGCTAGTTCTCCTTTATTATCAGTTTGAAATGGAGGGGTTCCATAATACCTGCAGGGTTCCATAACACCATCTTTTCCTCTATATATATATAGTAGAACCTCGATTATCCGGACTAATTGGGGATGAAGGTAGTCCGGATAAGGAAAAATCCGGATAATCGAAACAAATACTTTAATTTGTCTTTTAATGATAATACAACACGTTTTCTTTTCGATGACATATCGGTAATATTAAAAATAAATACTGTATTTAAATCGTGATCAAATTTACAAGAAACAAACGTTCGTATTGCATTTAGACTACTACTGACCAATGCTAACAGACTACCTATTGTTTAAAAGGCCCTCTGGTGGCGCAAGAAGACGGATTTTGTAAAATAAAAAGCAGTTGAAACTGCATTTTTATGAATAAAAATTTGACAAACTATTTATCGTTTTAGGACGAGTAAAATTTTTTCGTCCGCGTTCACGGCTTTTAAGTAATGCATAAACCTTCGAGGCGCGAGGCCCTTTGGACCGCGAGGCATAGACGATGGCCCACGTCGTCCATGCCTTACGCCTCCCTTGGTCATAGAAATGATGTAATTTGAATATAAATTATTTATAAATACGTATGTCAAGTTATATTTTTATTACTACGTAAAATATATTTAAGAGTTTACGACCCACTGTGCTGGGTGAGACGTTGTTGAAACAAAAAAAGTTATGCATTCCATCACGTACATAAACAGTGTCGTAATTCGCCAAGTGCAAATCAGCAAATTCGTAAAATTTTTGTTTATTTTGAACAATCCGGATAATGGAGGTCCGGATAATGGAGGTTCTACTGTATGTTGTAAATATTGGTAAAATACATTTGAATGTAAATATGTAAAGACGTACCAGGTACGAGTTATAAGTTACGAATTACGAGCTACGAGTTATTTCCAACTTAGAAAAAGAAAATGTTTTGGAACAACGTATTGTGAAAATGTTTTGGAACAACGTATTGTAGCATCGTTAATTACTTTATGTCAGAAAGGAGAGCAAGATGCATTAATGAAACGCGATTCTTCGAAAACAAATTCCTTCGAAGAGCTTTAAAACTATTTTGTTTTAATTTATATTGTATTTAATGTGTAATGTAATGTATTTTTAATTTTATGTAATTGTCGTCTTTGTTTTCTAGTATAAATATACAAGAAAATGAAAGCTTCTTTGCATATTCGTGATATTTTTATATTTTTAAAAATTAAATACCGTCGTTTAAGGTAATAAATATTTACTTTTCAAAATCTTTTCTTTTCATGTATACATGAAAACAAAAGACGGTTCATTTTGGGGTGGATATCAACCGTCCTTCGGAACTTTTCTATTTACTTATAAAAATAAATAAATAATGTATGTAACATGTATAAATATGTTTGTTAATTATAAAATCGTTCTTTTGACTCGTTTCTTAAAACAATATTATTTAAATTTATCGCGTAGTAGATCAACAAAAAAGAATGGCGATTTTAACAAAGAAAACAAAAGATTTTAAAAAGTAAATACTTAATACCTTAGCCGATGTTATTTAATTTTTAAAAATATAAAAATATCACGAATATGCAAAAATGCTTCCTTTCCAACTGACAGTCCAAAAACAGAATGCTCACATATGCCTCCTTTGGTCCATAGGAGGGAAAAAGTTAAAAATAAAAACATATATATATATACAGTGCAGTGGCTTAGCGTAAGTGTCAGCCGCCCGGGACGGAAAAAATTTCGTCCCCCTTATTTAGGTATCTCAATTTAAAAGACTAAAATTCAGTTTTGTCACAGAACAAGCAATAAAAAATTCCGTGTTAGTTCAGCGACCTGTTTAAAATAGCTCTATTGATTGGATAGTGGTGGTGTACATGAATACGAATGAATCGTACAAGCAAAAAAAAGGTCAACAGGTTGCGCAGGATATCCTCGGATGAAATTACTAGTTTACCCGGACAGAGAGCCGATTCCCG